CGCGGTATCGGTCGGTAGTTCGGTATATCTTCGGTCTGGTTGTCGACCGCGGTATCGGTCGGTAGTCGGTATATTTTCGGTCTGGTCTTCGACCGCGGTATCGGTCGGTAGTCGGTAGGTCGTTTTGTTATATATCTTGCTTCTCTGTTGGAGCGGATATCTTGCAGTTGGTGTTTCGTTGACCCTGGAATTGGTCGGTATTCGGTTATTGTCTGCATTGTACGATCTGGATCTGTATTCTGTCCTGGTTTGGTATTGTTCTCTCCTTCTTACGCGATTTCTATTTAAGATGTTTGATAAATCAAGGCCCCATCTTGTTATTTCATGCATTCCCAGTACTACTTCTGAAGCTAGGTTTGGTAAAAAATGTAGCTTGGCTTTTCTCCAAACGTTGTCTATGGAACATTTTGCTGTAAAACAGATTTCTATGTTGCTGGTTTTTCCATCTGCCAGCGTGATCTTTAAAGCTTTTCTGTCGCTTTTTGTTCCACATTGTTCCAATATTTTTTTACCTTTTTGTCATATAAACGAATTTTGGGCTCCTGTGTCTATTAGTGCTCTTAACTTTTTACCGTTGCTGAACGTTATCGTTGTGTGGGGTCGTTGATCTGTATAGTGTGCGTAGCTGGAGGTTGTTAGGGAGGAGTCTAAATGCTGACTGGGTTGCCTCCTTCTTGTCCAGTCCTGTTGGAGTTTTCCGGTCGGCTTCTACATTGGCAGTTATTGGAAGTTGTTCCTCGGGTTCCGCAATGGCTGCAGAAGAGTACAGCGATAGCTCTGCAGTTTCTTCTATTGTGGCCTCTGCGGCCGCATCTCCAACAACAAGTCTGTCTGTCGAAATTCTGTATTTTGTTATTACGATTATTTGCCTGTGTCCAGTCACACCTTGTATTGTTTCTGTTATATATTTCTTTTTGGACCATATCATATTCTTCCGCTAGTCTGATGATGTCCTGTGTTGACGATACGTCTTGCCTCTTTATATACAACTTGTATTTCGGGTTCATATTGGTGTATATCCTGTTTAGTTCTTCTTGGTGATTGAATTCACCATGTCTTCTGATCATTGTTTGAATATCAATGACGTAGTCTTTTACACCTTCGTTGTTTCGTTGGAGTCGGTTCCGGATTTGAGCTTCCAGAGATTGCGTGAGAACGGAGGAGGAAACGAAGAAATTGCGAAAATCTTGTTCGAAGTCTTTTAATACGTTCCAATATTTATTATTGTTTCTGTACCATAGTAATGCTTTCCCGTTTAATGTTTCTGGTAGAGCTTGTAAAACGTGGGTGTCTTGTAGGCCGTAAGCTGTCTGGAGTTCTTTCAACCGTTCTATGAATTCTATTGGGTCTCTTGAACCGTCAAAGTGTAACCCCCATTTGCGTACTATTTCCATCTTTCTTTGTCTGTCTTCCATCTGGTTTTCTTCTATTTCCTCTGGGTTTCGGCCTTTTTGAGTTGGTGCCTTGATGATCGCAACTAATTTCGCTCTTAGCTCGCTGAAATTTCCTTCCGTCGACTGTTCTCTGTTTGTTAATTCGGCTATAAGTTCGTCTTTCTTTAATAAGTACACCCAACTAACCTTCGACGTTTCCGGAGCGTCTGTCATTTTTGAACTGTGAATCACCCTGTATTTGAATAAAATTTGAAATGTAGTACTGTCTCATGAAAATAAAATTCGGAATTCGGTCGGTATTATTGTTTAAAACGAATTTTTCTGCTCGGGCGCCATTTGTGATGTCCTCTCGTAGGAGTCACTATCCGGGTAGCTTTTGGACAGTCAGAGACAGAGTTCAAAATAAAAATAAAACTTTATTGTCTTCCTTAAATTAAATTGACAAAAATCTTATGTACATATTTACAATTTAGTTTAGTCTTCTCAGTACCTGGCCTATTTATTCAAATTAAGTTTGACCTTATCGTATGAAATTAGTTTTATCGGCAAGCGAGTGTGTTTTTGAAATTTTACGTGAACGTTGTATCGATTTAATAACAGCGGACGATAGGTACAAAGAAAGGAAAGGAACTCAACACGTCCCTAAGTGATTCGGGTTAATAGGACACTCCTCGACAGTCTCAACATGACTGCTTCGGAGTACGGGTAATGAAGAGCTCAACACGCTCTTCGGGTAACGGCGGTATGGAACGGAACAACTTGTGAACTCAACACGTCCACAAGCCGGGGTAGGGAAGAAGAGAACCTTCAGTCAACACCTGTCGATTCTGCCTCTATGAGGAAATGTTGCGGTTTATATAGCGGAGCTTGGTAATTAGTTTTGCCCTTTCTACTGTCGATACACTCCTACTTCATGGGTTGGTTCGCGCGCACGCTGGTTTAACGGTGATGGCTTGGACTCATCGTTACAAATTTATATTGTGTGATATGCCCACTGACTATTAGTTTTCTGGTTGCTTAACTGTCATTGGCGGCTTGCCCACGCAACTTCAAAGGACTGTCGCTTCTCTGACATAACTAAATTTTTGAGCTTGTGGGTATGCTGTAATTTATTGTATGCGTGTCGAAGATTAATGAAAAAGAAACTGACACTGTGTCGACTGAAGTCAACACTGCGTATGACACTGTATCACAAAGTATGTATTTTAATACGCTGTGTTGGTGTGTTGAACTGTGTCATAGGTGTCACTGTGTCATTTTAACTGTATCAATACGATTGACAAAGTCTAAAGTGTCAATATAAGAGTGCTATTCAACACAGTATTAGACATCTCTAACGCTACTGGAACAGAAGTGCTTCATACACTCTCAAACAAATTCCTTCCAGAACAAGGTGTCAGACAAGTGTGTATACTGTCTCCACAATTATTTAATATATATGGGGAGCATATTATGAGAACAGCGCTTGAAGGATGGGAAAAGGGCATCTCAATAAATGGTCGAAAAATAAACAACCTATATTTTGCAGACGACACAGCCCTTCTTGCAAATAGTCAAGAAGAGTTAATTAATCTCATACGACTGGTTAAAAACGAAAGCCAAATATTTGGTCTGCAGTTAAACATATCAAAGACAAAGATCATGAAATAAAACTTAGATGTGATCTAGCAAAAGTCGCCGTAGGAAAGATGACCAAAATATGGAAGGACTCTCAAATTTCACGAACTCTAAAAATGAGGTTGATCAACTGCTTAATATTCCTAAGACTGACATACGGATGTGAATCCTGGAACCTACGAAAAGCGGAAAGAAAAAAGATAGACGCCACTGAAATGCTCTGTTGGAGAAGAATGTTACGAATTCCGTGGACCGACCATAGGACAAATATTTCAATTTTAAATGAGCTAAAAGTCAGCAAACTGCTTTTGAGCAAAGTCTATCTCCAATAATTAAAATACTTTGGACATCTTATGAGAGCAGATATAGAAAACATGGAAATACTTATTATCCAAGGAAAGGTAGAAGGCCGAAGATCACGACGAAGATATCCAATAAGATGGGTCGTTCAAATTACAAGAATATGCAAAAGACCTATCATCATCCAGCCTCTATTTATCACGTCCACTGCTGGACATAGGCCTCCCTTAAACTCCTCAATTCCTCACGATTTTGTGCTCTTTGTTGCCAATTTTTAGTGATACGCCTGATGTCGTCGGCCCAACGTGTAGGTGGTCTTCCTCTACTGCGTTTGTCTGCTCTTGGCCTCCAATTTGTAATTTTGCTCGTCCATCGTGAATCGTGCATTCTCGCTACATGGCCTGCCCAGTTCCATTTTAGTTCCGCTATGCGTTCCACAACATCAGTAATACTCGTCCTTCTTCGATGCATGAGACCAAAAGACCTATGCATGAGTTAAAAGAAATGACCGGAGACAGAGAACTTTGGAGACGGACAATGCACGACATCATTTCCGGGGTGAGTCAGAATTGAAGAGAGAGAGAGAGAGAGAGAGATTTTGAAAACATTTTAAGTGAGAAAAACAGTGTTTTGAAAACAATAATCTAATATAGATTAATATAGATCAACCGAAGGTATTATTGTGAATGGAGTAACCGTCAGCAATATTAGATATGCCGACGATACCTTAGTCCTTGCCAATTGCGGAGAAGACCTTCAAAATCTAATGAACAAAATAAAACAGACGTGTGATCAGTATGGATTAAAACTCAACGTTAAGAAAACTAAATATATGATAGCAAACAAAATTATATACAGGATGACGGTATAAAAGTCGGAGATTCCACACTGGACAGAGTAGAGAAACTCGTGTATCTCGGCAGTAATATCAAAGAGAGCTGGGATCCAACCGCAGAAATTAAAAGCCGAATAGAACAAGCCCGAGCTGCCTTTGTAAAAATGAGAAACGTACTTTTCAGTCACGATCTTAGCATTGACCTTAGAGTTCGTATGACATCTTGCTACATCTTTCCTGTCCTGCCGTATGGAGTGGAAGCGTGGACTCTAACTGAGGCTATGCTTAAACGCTTGACAGCCTTTGAGATGTGGGTATACAGACGACTACTGAAAATAAGCTGAGTCGACAGAGTTAGAAATGAGGAGGTCCTTAGACGGCTGAGCCAAACAACACAACTGGTCAATATAATAAAGAAACGCAAGCTGGAATACTTCGGTCACATTATGAGACACCCTGAAAAATATGATCTTTTACATCTGATCATTCAGGGAAAGATCCAAGGTAATCGTGGTTCTGGTAGACGAAGAACATCATGGCTGAAAAATCTAAAGCAATGGTATGGAAAATCAACTACATCGTTATTTAGAGCTGCTGTCAATAAAGTCACGATAGCGAATATGGTAGCCAACATGATATCCAACGATCGATAACGGTCATGGAACTAGAAGAAGAAGAAGAATATAGATCGTAAATATACTCGGTAGAGTAGTAAAGCTGTTTACTATATCCTGCTCCACTATATCTTTATAACCGATTAATACATGAACTTAAAAACGTTATTTGAAAAATATTGAATAGTTAATAATATATAATAATAGTAACAACGCTATATTAAAATGTATTAATTTTAGGGGTGCAGATTGCCAGTTACCAATAAATCATGAATATAGAACCGAGACTGACTCTTTGTTTAAAAATGTACCTGTAAACACTCCGACTGTAATGAATCTGAGAGCTGAAGAAGATATGTTAGTTGGATTTTCAACTGCAATGGGTATACATAATTTTATCTTTATTGATTTTGATAAGAATTTTAAATATGTATTTCATGACCTCAGGCTTAACGTTTCGTTTTGCAATAATTTTTTTTAAATATTCGTTAAAGTATAGAACATATGCTTTGAGTTGCGGACTATAATTGTCAATTATTAGTTAGTTTACTTTGCCTAAGATGTGTCTAAGATTCAATAAACGATGTTCAGATTCACTTTTTGGAATCTTTCGGAAAACTTCTAGTCCAGTCTTTAGAGATTTGACCTCTAAAAATCATACAAACAAGCTGAATTTGTCTGAGAACGTCAATTTTGGGACCCCAAGGATGAGGTGTATGATGAAATTTTAAAACTATTAGGGGTACACCAAACCACAGCTCTTACGAAGCTATTCAACATCTACGAGACTGGTTACTTACCAAAAGATTGGCTACTATCAATATTTATTCCTCTTCCTAAAAAAGCCAATGCTAGAAAATGTCAAGAACATAGACTAATTAGTTTGATGAGCCATGTACTCAAAGTAATCCTCACTATCATTTACAAGTTCTAATACAGAGAGTCAGGGATTTCAACTACGATGTGTATGCATGTTTTATTGATTTCGAGGAAGCATTGTACTGCAAGATACCAGACGCATGGAGAAACAGCATAATGATACCAATGTTCAAGAAAGGAGATAAAGAAGACCCCAACAATTATAGTGGTATAAATCTACTGAACACCGCACTTAAGCTTTGATGCAACAGCTAAGAAATACAAAATGATAATATCAGCAGAAAAAACCAAATTTATGACAACATCTAAATACCCACTACGGTGTAAAATCGAAATTGAATAATAAAGCAGGAAGCAAGGTTTAGATATCTGGGAATAGATATAACTAGTTACGGAGATGTTGAAGAAGAAGTACGACAACAAAGCTTAGAAGCAAGTAAAGCGGCGGGTTCTCTTAATGACACAATCTGGAAGAACAAACACCTAAGACAAGACACAAAAACAAGAATCTATAAAGCAGCAATTAGACCCATATTAACATACACGGCGGAGACAAGACCTGACACATCTAAAACGAGACGACTGTTAGAAACAACAGAGATGAAAATACTCCGACGAATGTCAGGGAGAAGTCTGTTGGATAAGGAGAGAAGCGAAAACATAAGAAGAGCATGCAATATAGAAGACATAAATGGATGGGTGACAAAACGAAAACAGGAGTGGAACGAACACATCAGTAGAATGGCAGAGGATAGAATAGTACGAATAGCACGAGATAAGTCACCAAATGGACGAAGAAGTCTTGGCAGACCAAGAAAAAGATGGTGCGACAATTTAAACAATTTAGGAGGCTAATATTGAAGAAGAAACAGGCTTTAAAGCCTACATACTAGAAGGAAGAAGAAGAAAGAGAAGGCATTTGATAAAGTCTCACATGGAAAACTAATCGATATCCTAAAAACAGTATGACTCGATGGTAAGGATATAAGACTGATCTCAAACTTATATCTTCAACAAAAAGCAACAGTACGATTAGAAACTGAACTGTCTGAGATCTTCACAGTCAAAAAAGGAGTTAGACAGGGTTGCATATTGTCACCGGCATTATTTAACTTATACTCTGAAAACATCTTTAGAGAAACAATATTAGATATACATATGATACAGTGTTGCTGGCAAATAGTGTGCAGGGGCTTCAAAGGATTATGGATAACGTTGTAGAAGCATGTAACAATTACAGCCTAAAACTAAATTGCAAGAAGACAAAAATGATCATTAGTAAGAACACCAATATAAACGCCCAAATTAGAATAGGCGATACACCGTTAGAAAGAGTGGAAAAATATGCTATTTGGGCTGCAATATTAAGGTTACTTGGGATCACATCTACGAAATAAAAACTCTTATTGAAAAAATCAGAAGCTCTTTCAACAGCCTTAGGATTCTCTGCAACTTATCTTTAAGTATCAATATACGCATAAGAATTCTTAGATGTTACGTCTTTAGTGTCCTCTATGGAGTAGAAAGCTGGAGCCTTACAGAGGATGCCATAAAACGATTAGAGGCATTTGAAATGTGGTGCTACTGGCGGCATATGTTGAGGGTCTCATATATACTCCACACAAGTAACATAACTATTCTCCAGAGGTTAAGAAGAGACAAAGAAATTACTGACACCGTAAAGAACAAAAAATTGGCTTACTTCGGCCACATCATGCGTAATAATAAATACCGACTTCTACAGTTGATTCTACAAGGCAAGATAGGTAAGAGGATACAGGGTAAGAGAGGACCTGAGCGTAGACGTATATCCTGGCTGGCCAATCTTAGGAAATGGACTGGTCTAACGTCAACTGACCTATTTCGAGCTGCTGTGAATAGAATAAGATGGGTCAATGTGGTCGCCAACATCTCCAGAAGATGGGAACATTTAGATGAAAAAAGATGCAAACTACCCTTGGTGTTCCACGTTAAACCTCGCCTCGTTGAGAGGAAAATCAGAAAACATCGATTTACCAAGAATCTGGTAAATCGATGTTTCGATAATCTTTCAGACTTCTGAAAGAAGCGACTGGCGATTATCGAAATTTGTATCAATTCGACGGTAAAAATTCGATGTTTTGATCAGTGTCCTATCTACAAAAATTAAAATGGGTTTTAAAGTTGAAGAGTGCAGCTTTCGTATCCAATTTTTGCAATTTGTCGAAAATGAAGTCAGTTTCTTTAAAGATGTTAAATAAATAAACGATGCGCAATTTTTGCCATTTTTACTCATGATCCGTGATCTCACGAGAATCGTAAAAAATCGCGCAACGTTTGTTGATTTAACAGCTTTGTAGAAAATGACTTTATTTGTAGCGAAATGCAAAAATGTATGAAAGCTGCACTCTTCGTCTTAAACATTTATTTTTGTTAAGACATTCTGATTAAAATATATCGAATTTTTACTGTCGACGTTACAAATTTTATGTAATAAATTAATTTCTTGCGCGTAACTGACATTCAAAATCGCCGGTCACAAAGGGTTGTTTCTGAGAGAACGGTCGATTCTACAGAAAAATGACTAATAAACGTCTTTGTGCAAATTATCTCAGCTACATTTCTTGTTTGAAACATTTTTATATGGCGTACAGGTTCTTGGTAAATTAATGTCTTCCGGGTTGAGTTTACCGAAAGTACAAGCTGAAAATAGCCGCAAATGTCAACCATGAAATAAAATATTTGGGTTTGGCAGTGTTGGGATGGTATTATAAACCATATGTTGTATGCTTCAAATATAAAGAGAGAAAGTTTTTAAAAAGTACATTTTTTTTATTAACCGCATCAACTACTTGGAGTTATTAGCGGGAAAACATAATATACAATTAATTAAATTACAAACAGTCAGGATTTGTACAATTGTACATTACAATTAAGTGGGTATACTTCATCTAATTTAGATAACGACTTTCGTCATTATCTACGTCAGAGATCGAAGTTGACATAGTTGCCAAAGTATAAAAAAATCCTGACTCCATTTTAAATCAAATAGGTCACATAATTATTGCAAAAGTATTACCATCTCTTTACAACGACTATTTAAATTCTTACGTGACATTTTTGAAATAAAACACAATAATTTTGTTTTAAAAAGAACAGATTTTATTAAATAGGTAAAAATATAAAACAAGAGGTATTCACTTTAAAATTAAAAATAATAAACTACAAAAGTGTCAACACCGCAACTGTCAAATAAGTGTTACCAATTTATGCCAAAATTTTACCTTTGTTCGATTACAGTTACAGTGTGTTCCGAAAAAATGTTCTTGATAAAAACTCTTTATAATGGATTTATACAAATTAAATGAAACATATTATTGTGTATTTCTTTAAGTGAACATTAATAGAAATTTTTAAATATTATTTCTACGCGTATATAATAAAATATGTCTAGTGGCTGTCATGCTAGGGTACTCGGTAAAGTGATTCTAAAAAGAACACACCTAAACCCTAAATATTTCGTGTTGGTATCATATGACGTCACAGGCTATGACGCCGATGACGTGCATCGTTATATAAATTAGATGAAGTGTAAGTTTGTAGTACAATATTTAAGTTAAGATTAATTTTACAGTTTCACAAAAAAATTAAACTCATTTACAATTTGTTTAAAATATTAATATCCTTTAGATAATTAAAGAGGTTTTTCGGATTACAATTATCTCCTAAAACATCTTTGATATTTTCAGGTATTGAATGTTTGTTTCTTTCATTAATAAATTTGGGACAATCTACCAAAATATGTGGTATGGATATAATATAGTTACAAAGATCACATATAGGGCGATTTGATTTGGCGATAATATAACCATGAATTAGTTTGCTGTTTCCTATACGCAATCGAGTCATTTTAACGAATACCCGTCGGTCAACGTTTATTTCACACCATGAATGTGTGGTAGCCTTAATAGTGTTTAGAAATGATTTTGATTGTTGCCATTTATTTTCCCAATGACTTCGCACTTTCTTTTTTACGAGTGATTTAAAATCCCGCACAGACACTGTATTCACTGTTATTGATGATGCACTTTGTATTGCTTCACGAGCGTAATGATCCGCTTTTTCATTGACTTCCAAACCAGTGTGTGATGGAACCCAGAGGAAACGAATTTGCTGTTTTGCCTGATTTATAAGGTGTAATTGATATTGTATTAGATGAACGATATGATTACTGGTATAGAGCTGTTTTATTGAATGTAATGCACTAAATAAAGAGAGTCAGTAATTATCAGAGTTTTTGAGATGTTGTGGTTAAAAGTACATTTAGATTATACTATTGTATGAATTATGCAATGTTTAATTTATATGAAACAATAAGATTAAAGGTTGAGTTTACCGAAAGTACAAGCTGATTGTAGCCGCAAATGTCAAACAGGGAACAAAAAATTTTAGTATAGCAGTGCTGGCATGTTTTTATAATGTAAATACTGTATGCTTCAAATATAAATAGATTAGAAAAGTACATTTTGTTTATATTATGTTTTTTTGAATTCTGCAATTTTTGATTTATATAAAACAAGAATGAGTAAATATTTGTTTCTTTAGAGATAAATTGCTGTTAATTATTAGACATTTTTTAGCAATTACCCTTTTATAGATTAGGGGATAGATTTGGCAATCATCAAATCAGCAGTTGCCAGATGTATGCCAGAATTAATGTCGAAAGAAACAAATATTTGCCCGTTATTGCTTCATATGAATTAAAAATTGCGGAATTCATAAAATAGTATAATCAAAATGTACTTTTTAAAAGCTTTATCTCTTTATATTTGAAGCATACAACATATGCATTATAAAAACATGCCAACACTGCCAAAACAAAATATTTTTGTCATTTGCGGCTATATTCAGCTTGTACTTTCGGTAAACTCAACCAGAGTAAATATTTGTCTCTTTCTAAATTAATTGCAAACATCTGTTTCAATCTAGCAACTGCTGATTTGACGATTGCCAAATCTATCCCCTGATCTATTTAAGGGCTATTGCCAAAAAAAATTTCTAATAATTAACAGCAATTAATCTCCAAAGAAACAAATATTTAGTCATTTTTGTTTTATATAAATCAAAAATTGCAAAATTCATAAGGTAATATAATCAAAATGTACTTTGCTAAAGCTTTATCTCTTTATATTTGAAGCATACTGTATATACATTTTAAAAACATGCCAACACTATTAAATCGAAATTTTCTGTTCCATGTTTATCATTTGTTGCTATAATCAGCTTGTACTTTCGGTAAACTCAACCGTCTTCCGTTACTCCCCCGCCTTCGATTCGATGGGGCTTTTAGGGGTAAAACCGGGGTTAGGACTGATAAAATATTTTTGCATATTTTTTTTCACAAAATTCAGCTTGTTCTTATGATTTTTAGAGCTTCAGTCGCATTTTCGTCTCTGACGACTGGAGTATTCAGAAAAATGAAAATTTGCTTTGGCAAAATTACTGATTTAAACTTTCCATTCTTTTGACATATCGTATAGTCTCAATAGAGTTAATAAATATGGAATATGATAAACGTTTTTTTCAATTACCCTAAGGTTTAGCAAAATTATACGAAACGAGATCAGAATCAATCTAGAATTTTGTCATCAAATTTAGCTTTTGAATTAAATTTTAAAGCATTTGATTAATGTCGTATTTAAAAACTTTAAACAGTTTATTTTATAATTTGTGGTCTATTTCTACCAAAAAATATTTGATAAAAAAATGTAACATCTGATCAATTTATTTATGTTTTAGGTTACAAGGCTCATAGAGATCCTAATTTGGGCTCTTGGTACATTGAACTACTTTGCCAAGAGTTCATGAATCATGCCCATGAGTATTCTGTAACGGAGATGCTTCAACTTGTAGATCAAGGATTGAGACGAAGACTTTCTGAACTTCATACCATGCAAACTGCAGAGTTTAGAAATTTGGGTTTTAAAAATTTATATTTGAATCCCGGACTATATATGGAAAACGGCGTTGTAAAACATTTTCATGGTGAATTATAAAGGAAAACTTCCCAGTTTTGGGCTTTATACCATAGTTTCAAAAAACTTACAATGAAGTAGTAAGGGAACGTTCAAGGGAAAACGTTACGATGTAAAAAAAAAGAAAAAAAAATTAAAATACTAGGAAATTCCTCGATTGTATTGTACAATATTTTTATTTTGTTCTTTTTGTTTATGTTTTACGGGGAATTCTTCGACTGTATTGCATGTCCTTTTTATTTTGTTTTCGTTGTTAGCATTAGTTAGTGTTTTAGACAAGACACGTAATACACAGTAACACGTTGCTGTAGTCAGTGTTGTTAAAGTGAATTCATATTGGAATATCACCAAAAGATGGAGATTTGCATCGTCAGCTGTTCCTATAAAAACTCTCATGCTGACTTGCCAGCACAACGGCCAAAAAATGCAAACGAAACTTAGAAAACGGCTAAAGAAAAACTAAAAAATAAAGAAAAGTTTGTAAAACATATAAATTATGTTATACGAGAGTTTAAAGTGAAGTAAAGATGATATTCAGGAAGAAGCAAAGAAACTACGTAAAGAATCTAAGGAATAAACATATTTCAAGAGATACAGAGAGTGCTAAGCGCGCAAAAAATTTTGATTCCGAAAAACTTGAGAAAGTTGAACGTTAGAAAAACTGCAGGATGCTGCAGTACGAGCATCCTGCTCTCCTGGATACCATATAACTTCGCCATTCCTGGCAGCGCTGCTGATGAACGCCGTAGAACAGACATAATTAGGAGTTGTCTCGTTCTGTCCGACCTGCATGAGAGGCTGTTGTTGATGGGATTCCAGAATGCACAAAAAGTACGAGGACACCGAATTCCAAACTGCTACAGTTAGGTTCTTGGAAATGTTTCTTTTGGTACTACATTAAGTATTTGTCCTCTCTCAAGATGATAATAACTGTGTACCAATAGGTTTACCGGCAGTGAAATGTCAGATCCCGCTTTTATATGTCTGCATACATATTTTCTGTATATTCCAGTATACGCCAAATATATGTATATGCCAAAACAAAAAAATGTAAGATTCTATTACCGCAAATGAGATTAAAACAATATCAACGATATCTTACCGAGTTTCCGATTACTTTTTGCAACATAATTATTATTTTTCAGTAAAAATGCTCACTAGGGTATTACATAATGTTTAGACAGAGGTGGAAAATACAGACAAACGTTACGGTGCGTTACATGGGGGAACGGGGGCTCAAGAATCTTTAAAAATTGCATTACGTAATACTTGAACGTCACTTTAACACTTTTGGTATAATTGGTATATTTATAAAATTACTAAAATACTGAAAACATCCAAAAGAATGACAATTTTCATCAGAACGTTTTAGGTCTTATCAGACCATCATCAGCGAAACCTTCAGCATTTGAAAACAGCCCAATTTGAAAACAACCCATTAGCGCTCACGATATCTATTAATATATATTGGATTAGGTATTTATTAGTAATATTATTTGTAACAAAACTTCAATTGTAGCTTTATTTGAAAAAATAAAATTACTTAGTTATAGATATGTATCCAAATGAGTACACTGGGCACTATAGTGTCTTAATAAATAATGTAACAGAAAAAATTAATTTAAGTGAAAAGTTTTAAACCAGTCTCTCTCAATATGAAGAGTTATATTACACTTTTTACAACTCCCTCTGGTTCTTAGATGACACTTAGCACACTTTTAATAAGTTTTTTTTTGAAAAGTGTCCTTCATGTTTCCTAACGTTAGGCAGAATATTTCCGGAAGGTGTAGATTTCATACACATTGATTTTTCATTACAACCTAAATAATGTACAAATACTCTTTGAAAATAAGAAGACTACTTTGTTGATCTTTAGTCATCCAAAAGCACCATCACCATTTTTTCTTTTTATTCCGATACAGTAACTGTTTAGTTGCTGATCATGTAAGTCTAAACCACCCATGGACTTATTATAATTTTTAAATAAAGCAGGTCGAGAGTCATTGCGTGCCTAAACAGTTTTGTTCTCGTAATCTTTTTAACCGCAGTGCCAAATGTACTTCCTCCAAGACTTCATCTGAAGATCAATGAACTTAAATTTCTCATGCAACGTAGGTGGTGTTAAATTTCCCTCTATATAGTTATCATCCTCAATGTCTTCCTCATCAGATAGCATATCTGGGTCTGGAGGAATAATATCAATATCCACATCAGACCGCGAATTAGAAGCACGAATATCTTCTAAAGCTGAAGGTAAACCTTGGTATTTCTTTCCATAGAAGTTTCGAACACTAATACTCTTAAAATCACCTACAGGTACCATATTTGTGACAAAATTGTAAAATATCAAAAATACTCATATACACCCATTATACTCATATAAATACACCTATTGTATTTAACAGATGTAATATTACATATATTCAATACAATATACAGTACTAGTATAATACCTCAAGAATGGTTGCTGTCTACGTTTGTCACCATACCGAAGAAAACTATGGCAATGCAATGTTCAGATCATCGGACAATCTCCTTGATAAGTTATCTGCTTAAAATATTTCTTAGAGTCATCCACAACCGAATCTATCAAAAGTTAGATATCGATATTAACGATACACAGATGGAATTCAGAAAAGGATTAGGTACAAGAGAAGAAGCTCTCTTTGGCTTAAATGTCCTAACATAGAGATGTCTAGATGTTAACCAAGAGGTACACGCCTGCTTTATAGATTTTGAAAAGACCTTTGACAAAGTACACCCCAATAAACTCAAAGAAATCCTGGAGGGTAAGGACATCGACACCAGAGACATACAAATAATATTAAAGCTGTACTGGAATCAGCGAGCTAATATCAAAATAAAAGACCAAACATCGGACGAAATAGAAATACGTAGAGAAGTACTACAGGGTTGTATATTGTCACCGCTTTTGTTTAATATCTACAACGAACAAATATGCCAAGAAGTTCTCTCACATGCAAACGAAGGGATAATAGTCAATGGAGAAGTTATCAATAACATTCGATATGCTGACGATACTGTGATAATGGCAAGAACAGCGGAAGATCTACATATAGTTGAAAGTATGAATGAGATATGTAATAACTACGACATAAGGATAAACGTCAAAAAATCAAATATATGACATTCAGTAAGAATCCAATACATGATACTAGTATCTCAGTAAACGGTACCCAACTCGAAAAAGTAAGCGAATACAAATACTTGGGAACCCTCATCAATATAACAAACTGCGACCAAAATCACGAGATCAAAACACGTATTGAAATTGCCAGGTCTACCTTTATAAAAATGAAAAAAAATATTTTGTAATCGTGATATTAGTATTCATCTACGAACTAGAATGTTAAAATGCTATGTATTCAGTACATTGCTTTACGGTGTTAGACAAATCTTGAAAGCTTTGAAATGTGGTGCTACCGCCGTATACTAAAAATTACTTGGGTGGATAAAATTACAAATGAAGAGGTAATACCCAGAATAAATAACGATCCAGAACTTATACTGAATATAAAAAAGAGAAAACTTGAATACTTAGATGATGAGAGGACAAAAGTACACATTCCTACAAAATATAATGCAAGGAAAAATCTAAGGACGCAGAAATCCAGGCCGTAGAAGAATGTCCTGGATGAGAAATTTAAGAGAGTGGTTTGGCTGTACCACTAACAAATTATTTAAAACAGCAGTAAATAAAATTAGAATCGCCCTATTGATATCCAATCTCCGATAAGAGAGACACTCAAAAAAGAAGTACACCTAATTTTAACAACAAAAAAATCTAGTTATAAATAAAATTCCGAGAAATTAATGGCTTAAGTCCTTTACTAAACTTATTATAAACTAACGTAAACCATTTGATGGTAGAAGAAGTAAATGAGAGAAACTTACTCTAAATTTACAAAGTCGATATCGAGAAAATAAAAAACGCACGTGTTGACTTCATAAACAATAAATAAAAACTAACAAATCAGCTGAATCTGTTAAGGTTGTCGTCTTAGAGAAATTAAGTTTTCTGTAATTACTAAGAAATGCAACTATGTGTCTTATTGTTGATGGCATTAGTATCTCAAAATGCAGCTGTACTTAAATGGATACAGTGAGTAACCGAAAGAGTCACAAGATACTAGTCAACTGACCGGTCATACTCACACGTGGTCACTTTTTCCAGTAAGGGTCAGGATGTTGTTTTATTTTAGGCTCCTTGGTCGGTTCTTCACCGATTTTTGAGCTTGTATTTTAGCGGTGATGTTGACTGCCAGCGATCTCGTACCTTTTAAAGGGTCTTCTAGTGGTCTCTTGCCTGTTGGTTTTGAATTTCTATTCGCTATTCGAGCTCTTCTCACTCTGTCCATTCTCATGACATGCTGATTACATTCTCGTCTCCTCTGTCTTTCCCATCGTACTATGATCTCTTATTCGATCGGCTGTGTGGGCTTTTGTTGTCACCAGTCGTACACACTATTTATACACGTATTTTTCCTTCCAGACTATCTTTATTTCTTCTGATTACATCCCTAAGGCATTCTGACACGTAAGTCGCTTTGTCTGCCTGTTTTCAGACGCTCTCAATGGCTAGTAGTTCGACTCCAAGATATTTGAATCTCGAATGAATTGTTCGTTCAATTATTTCATAGTTAATTACTATTTTGCATATGCTGGATTCCCTTGCGACTACCAAGGATTTCATGGTATATGTCTGCATGACAGAGGATCTTTATTTGTTTTTACCCCATCTTATGTATTTGCTATGTACTTTTAATCTCTTCTATGATGAGCAGTATGTTCCCTTTCGAGTAAATATAAAATTATCCAAAAATGTTTACACCTTATAAAGTGGCTATTTGCATATTCTCAAGTTTTCACTGATGATCCAAAATAATACCAAAAACGTTCTCATGAAAATTGTAATTATTTTGGATATTTTCATTATTTTTGTAATTTTATAAATATACCAATTACACCATAACTGTTTACTTCATTGTAAGTTTTTTTTATTTTCATATTGATTGAAAATTA